CTTCAAATATACTTAACCCTGTTAACCATAAGAATCGACGGCCACCCGTGAGAAACGATCGATTTCGATCCGGCGCACGTAAGTGTTGCAAAAGCGTGCCGCAGCGTCCCGGGAGTCTCGTCTGATTAAGGCGTCGCGTCCGCGCCGTTGGAATTCGATCGCGGCCTTCCATGCATCCGCGGGCACATCGAGAAATCGAAAGGGGATCTTTCTTCATCATCTTGCGAGATGATCGTTTTCACCGCGACCCCATACTCGGCTGAGACGGACGATCTGGTTTAACCCCTTCGAGCGCTGAATACTAGCAGCCGAAACGTTCCGTGTGGACGGGATATTTTTTGCTTAGCTCGTCGCCTGAAGATCGACGGACTATGTTAATTCTTTGTGGACGAATGTCGACATTTCGGGGAGATGAAATTTTCATGTTTGGAATACTAAGTCGCAAATAAATGATTTAATTACTTAAACAGCAAGGGATTGGTACGTCATTCCACTTCTTTTATTGTTTAAGTAATCGGTATGTAATTTAGCTTCATCTGCTGAAGTTTTTGTATATTTCAAAGAGACTTTGTCCGCCAAGGGTTAATTCATACGAGATATAATTAAGTTGTAAGTATACTTTCCCGGTTCTGGCAAATTGAATAATGCTAAGAAACAAGTATATTCATCGGATATACTTATAATTGTCAGGACACGTGACACGTGTGAGATCGAAATCTCGTCGGACACATATGCGTCTATAGCACTCAAAAGGTTAATCGGAATGACGGTTGTGTCCTTTCGTTAAGTGTTGAAATCAGGGGCTCAAAAGCTTCCGAAAGTAACTATTATATATTGGTTACGAGTGAAACAGTTATGAAGAACCGAAGTCAAGTCATAACTGTTGTTGGGTATTGTGCCCGGTTCTCCAGAACCGATATTATATCTTGTACAAATTGTTATCGTAACAATTCATCGAATATATCGTTTATCGAATTTTGGTGTAGCATTTCTTAGGTTGCAATCTTCGTTATCAAGTATTCTGAATGAACATTAAGTTTATTTCTTAAGTCACGCCTCCGCGAGCGTTCGTCATTGAGAAATCACTCGGTTAATGGGTTAAGTCGAAGATTACGGGCAACTCGAGCTTCCGACTTACTTGAAGACGGTACAAACAATGTACGGTACAATGGTTGTCGGGTCTGAGAAGATTTAAACTTTCACTGTGTCTGACGCATACGGTAAAGGAGTCTTCTACCATAAATGTCCTTCATTTACTTCCTATAAATTAACATTCATTACTTTAACATTAACATTCATTCACCTCCTATAAATTGAATGAAATCAAATAACTAGATCCAGTCTATTCTACAATGATTCGCAAGATCATCTGCAAAATCTTCTATTACGCGCAACTCACAACAACAAATCACGGATTAACACTAGGTTTACAAACGTCTATCATAAAGTCCATTCTATTTCCCTTACAAAAAACGTCCGCTTAGATCTTAAAAATTAGGGATTTCAAAATAGTTTATTAACGTTCACTAAGTAACGCGTATAAAATCCAGTATGCGTAAAATTGACGCGTTCCGTAAACCTAGCGTTAAACATGCATGCCTATAACTTTGTTACGGTTGCGCGCATAAATTCGCAAGAACAAAGCGCAGAAACAGAAAAAAACAGTCGGATTAAAACGATTCTACGATCATTGAGGGTAAATAAGCGCGAGCAAGCGTTCGAGAAGAATGACTCACGATCACCGGTTCGATGGAAGAATTCCCGCGAACGTTTACCTTGCCGCGGCACGGAATAGAGAAGGACGCGTCGGTTAGGGGGCGAGTGACGTTTATTTCGCGCGCGTCGTTTCCGCGGGTCGGTAGCATCGGACACGTCGCGTTTGGCTGCGGTGTGTCTCTGATGACGCAGTTACTGGTTCGCCTACGAGCCCCGACGCATTCACCAAATACGGAGCACCGGGGACCGGTCTCCCTCTCTCTCCCTCTCTTTGTCACTCACGGGCTTCCTGCCCACGCGGTGACCCGGCGACACTTTTTACGGGAAACGAGCGTTGGACGGGCGTGGTACTTTCGCTCCTTAACCGAATTCGATCCCCGGTATATCGGGATCAATCGTATGCACTCGACGGCCCCGATTTTTTGGTACTCGAACGATGCGTTCTCGGAACGATGAGGCAATGCTTCCTTATCGGGCGACCGTGGTTCTCGCGGTGAACATAAAGGTCCCTAGTACCTACACGTACGTGTCCCGAGGCAAGCAATGGGCTTAAGACTTTTCACTTTTCGCGGGAGTGAACGTACGAACGTATCGTACAAACAGTGAAAAAGAGTAGAAACCATTGTTCGTCTCGAGGAGTACTTCGAGACGTGTGTCACCGAGTATGGACGCCTTAAAGCTCGGCCCATAACACGGAACTGTTTACAATCGCGCTTTGCAAGTCGATGAAATATTATTTGATTGTTCGCAGGAAGAGTATATTACAAGTGATGTTCCGTTTCCAGTTTGATCTTGTGAGAATATTCTGTTGGATGGAATATATTAGTGGGTCTAGTATAATATTTGAGAGATCAGACTCGTACTGACTAAAATTGACAATATGGACAGAGTCTTCTGTTTGTTTCGGTTAAAAAGCGATCACTGGTATGTCGAACAATAAAAAGAATCATATCGTAGAATTAGAATTTTACCATAAAATTTTGAAAATAATCGATAAGTCTGTGGATCAAGCTTAACGTGTCGACAGATGAACGTTCTCACGATTCATAGTCGGAGCTAAATGTAATCTGATCACATATTCATGATGATATTCAAAATGTAACTGTTACTCCGATTGTGAACGAAATTAGCTATAATTAGCTTATAGTAAGGTCCCCTTATCGAAGATCATTATTCAAAACACAGCCCACAAGAATATTCCTTTAGCTACCTCGAGGATCTACGCGTCGACGTAGATAGTTGATGCAGCCGTAATCCCACGCGAGACCGACGCGAATCGGTGATCTACGGGAGGACGCGCGATCGTGATCGAAGTTACGCGTGTCGTTCGTCCGTTTAAACGTTCCTCCGTAACGTCGCATTTCCTGTTACATCATCCGGTCATTTTTCCTCAGGCAAGGTCGGATTTTTGCTCCGTTCCCTGTAATCCTATCTAAGGCGGCGACAAAACGAGCAATGATGCCGTCGAAACGAAAGCCCATCGGCGATGTTATCCTCCTTCGGTCAGAAATCATTGTCGTTGCACAACGACATTATGCAACAGGATCCGAGATTGTCACTGCGAACATTGATAGAAGTATTAAATTAGCCCAAAATTTTCTTCCGTTTTATTAACACAAAATGAATATACAGTATCTTATGCTTTGCGTCATGTTACTGGATTATATGCAATGTATTCTGATGTATTAATTTGTTTTATATATCTAGATGCCTTATAGTGTTATCCTTCCAAAATGTCTACCAAACAAAATATAGTACAACCTCGATTATTCGATTTATTTGAGCGACTAACAGTCCAGATAAATGAAGATTGGAGAAAAAACTACTCAAAGCATGTTTTCAAAACTTGATTATATTCCGGAGTATAACTAAACAATCCGGATTATTGAGTTTGCAGATAATCAAGATCTAGATCCCGAAAAATAGTTGCTCGGCTAACCCCTTCCCATTTAATATCATTTCTGTCTTAGTATCACTTTCTGTTGTCGTGAAGCTTGTGCAACTTTCACTATCAACGATTCCCGTCACTACGAAATTTTCCATTTCACTGTAAGTGTAATAACAGTTGGAACATAATAAATTGACAATAGCGAAATAGTTTTTTACTTTGATCCATGCGTAATGAGCAACATTGATCGTATTAACATAATTTAGAAATTTTCATGGCGAGTTTCATTCGTCGTTACACGATAACGTGATAATCAAGGTCTTACTTCATCGTATATAAGCGCAAAAGATACTTGTGGCACGACCTAATACATGTATTTTGTTCGACTCGTCGACGTAACGCAGAGGCCACCGGTGTTTCGTGGTTCCCGGAAACGTGGCTGTGACACTGGCTATAAGTCTTTTCAAGCGGACCGATTCAACGCGATAAATCCAGCGGCAGCGGACAATCTAACGATAATTCCTTCGTGTCTTCTGGCTCGTTAACGGCGCAATCAGCCACGATATAGTGCACGCGAAAGTAATGGCCGCCGATGTGCACGCGAAAACGATGACCATTGGTAGTTCTCGGCGATCCGACACCTTGAGAGGGACGACCCTGGTCGACGAGAATTACCATTCAAACCGCCGACACTGTTTTCATTGGTCAGGATTCGAATGAGACAGCATTTCATTGATGAAAACATTGATCGGCCAGAAATGAGGTAGACCAGTGGTTCCGTTAATCGCGGAACAAAGGTTTAAAGGATTCGAAGTACATAGATCGTTTTAATTCATCTGGCAGTTCTAATATCGAAGATGTATTACGTAGCCATTTACTGTTTATACGTAAGCGTTACAAATCTTGTTACAATCAAATTGTGAACATTTTGATGATAGTAATTTACAACTTTTTCTAAAACTTGTACAATTTTACATTTACGTTTTAAAATGAACTTTTCAACCTAGGTTAAAATCGAAAACTTCCGCTTCTGTTAGCATTTCTCAGTAATAGACGTAAGAGTTATTAGTCCGTAAATCGAAAAAGAATTGTTGCATTAAAGTATAAAAAGTTGTAAGTTAAACAACCGCTTTGACCATAAAATGTTAGAAAATTCAAAAAGTAGGGGTAACCGATTTACCCAATGAACAGCTCATTTGAAATCTATAAGTATCGATTCTACAAAATCATAATGATATTCATTTCAATAAATTTTCCTTAATTGACCAGTATTAACAGAATGCAAGCTGATTTTAACACTAGGTTTACGGAATGCCTCAATCTGATGCATAGTGAATATCATGCACATTACTTGGTAAACATTTTGATGATACAATCAACTATATGAATAATGTACCATTTTCCTCCAAGATCTCGAATTTCCAAGGTCTAACTGATCGAACATCCATATTTCTAGGAAAAATAGAATAAACTACATTAAATACCCGTAAACCTAGTATCAACGTAACTCAATAATGTCCATTAGGTCGCGCGTGCGCGGGAAAAACAATAATGACCATTGCCGTGTTCTCACCGCTCGCACACCTCGAGGAGGACGAGGCAGCTGGTCGCAGCCTCTGCGGTGGTACGTCATCGCTCGGTTTACATCGCGACATCACGGGGGACCGGTTCCTTGAAGGTATACCTCCCTCCTCTTTTCGATCCCCGCTCCCTTCCATCAACGGTATCCCCGCGCCGTTCATTTTATATTCCAGCTCGGCCGCGAGATCGCTTTCCACAAAAGACGAGAGACACCGTGTCACGGTTAAACGAGCTGCGAAAGGGGAGATCGAGAGCGGGAAGAGGAATCGTAATCCCGCTGTCGCGGAAACATCGAAAGCTCAACGCTTCGAGGATCCAAGCAGTCGAAACGTTCAGAATTTCAGTTCGTTTTTTCCGATCCAATTTCTGAAAAAAAATGGAATACCTAATCCTTCTTTTTGTGAAAAATTTATTGCCAATCTGTAACGTAAACAAGATTTTTCACGAATTCTTCCTTGCAAATGAAGAACACAGGAAATAGAGCTACCATGTTGCTTCTCAAACATGACAATTTTTGGAGACTTTAATTTCAGTTTATTCTCCGTATTATTCCAATTAAAATAATACCAAGAGGAATCGAAGTTTCGAGAAGCTTGAGGTTCCTAGTGAACATTATAAAAGTGCATTTTTCGATATTCCAGGTCTAGACTATATTTCCAGCTACATTTTAAGCCATAATCGTTACCGCTAAAGTCATTTACGATCCTGCTAACAATAAAACGACATATTTAGAATTAGTCGTTTCTACTATGTCCGATAATTTTATGAATGACTGTTCACACGTGCCAGCTTTTTGTTCGCGAAATGCGTCCCAGACGCCAGTGGAGTGCACGTCGGATTCGTTCACGTCGTTGCATAATGTAGCAGCTCCGACTGACGACACCTTTTGTTCCGATCTCTCTTCCCCGTAATGAGCAAAACGCGTCTTCCTCCATTACGCAGTTAGCCCGCTCTACGATCTGGTCTCATCGACACGTAACACGCCTCTTAATTTGCCCAGATGATCATTCTCGTTTTATGGTATGTCGCGTAGACCCATTAGACGCCGCCAACTCTCTATTTTTACGCGGCGCGGTTCGCTCGTAAAGCCGCGTACCCACGTTTTCTCTTTCGTTCACGGGTTACACGCGAAACTCGCGCGGTGGAGGTTTCGTCTCTGTCCGACGCGATGGCTGCCTCACGTCCGCTCTTTTTGCTTCCCGCCGCGAGAGATTACGTCGGCAACAGGCCCACGTATCGCGCGTTACCAACGCGAATGCAATTTACGCCCCCGCAAGGCAGAGCGCCCTTCTGCGGTTCGGTGCAAAGATGCCGAGTAAATTGCGTAGAGATTCTTTATTGGCAGTAATTTTCGAGGAAATAAGGAGTCCTGTGTTTACGTTGAGTCCATATTTATTCTTGTTTATTTGTATATTTTTATTTATTTATTCACTTCTGTCTACATATTTTAAGGGAACTCCCATTGTACATAAATGAAAATTGAAAAATAAATTCTTCTCTTCGATTTAATGTACACCTAAAAGCCCGTGTACATTTTACAGATCGAATGTAATTGATAACGAGATGATAGCATTTCGTAACCTACTCTAGTTAATACATAAAATTCAGTAAGTTAACGGTACGAAGTCGCACATCCGAAAGATCAAACAAAGCTGTTGACTCTTAGTGTTTACGTCAGTACGCAATTAGAAACTACTTAGTCAGCCCCGATCTTTCGATAGTGGTAACGTCGCAGTTAATTATATACTGACAACTACTTACCCATTTCAAATAGTCGGATCGGTCGAACGTCGCCGTAACGACAAATGAATAACTGAATTACTTAACTGACGAGAGACTGGCATGTAGTTTTGTTTTCTCCAGTATTTAAGACTCTCATGTACAATTCAGTTTCTTCCGAAATGTTAGAAACTTAAGATAGTATCGTCCGCAAAGGGTAATAGAAAATTGTTGACAGTTAAGGGTTAGTCATTGTCTGCACGTGCACTTGAACGGATCGGTTTCCACCAATTACGCGGGCCTAACCGCGGATTAAAAGTCACGGGAACGAAAACACCGATATCTTAATTGCGCGTGCGCCCGTGCATATCGGTGTCCGTGAGATAAGGAGCTCTAGTAATTAGCGAACGGAATTCAATGGCTGAGCGTTCGGGACGAAGCGGGTCGCAAGATACGGGCAGGCAGCGTGATACATAGATAGGATTTCGCGGGTCGGTTATACAATACTATTGGCACGGTGTGCGTGTATTCCTCCGACGTACGCGTGAAGCGCGTTGCGTGCGGCATTGTGGCCGCGCTTTCCAGCCGTGGCTGTGTTCGTTCGGCTTACGGAAGCGAGAAACGGGCGTTCCTTGGCGAGCCGATGTCGAGGATCGTTTAATCGACTCGCCAGATCGACGCGACGCCGCGGGATGGATCATCTTCGGTTCGCGGTCGACGAGAGTTATTGACGAATGATGATGAATCCTTGGCGCCGTTCTTAACACTGTGTTTGCGGAACGCGTATCGGATTTTATAAATATTATTGGTTTGATGCAAACGTTTTTTTTCTAATAATTAAGAGGACTAGAGAAACTAAATAAGAACGAAGATAGATGTGTCCTTTGTATACGTTATAATAATTTAAAAACAGATGTTATTTGTTTCGAAGAGAAAAATTTGCTTAACCTCGTTCAGAAACCGTCAAAATCTTTGTATCAATCCGATATTTCGTGTGTTCATATCGATCCTGTTGGGTTTTTTTTAATAGATTGATTCTTCAACTTTTAGTTGTAGAGATTTAAATGAATGTATATCTACTTTTCTAGGAATAATGGAATAGATTGTATAATAAACGTTCGTGAACCTAGTGTTACAATCATTGTAAATAAGATGTGAAATATGTCTGTCTCGATCGGATATTTTATTTTAAGATTGAATTGATAAAAGATAATCGAAAAAATGATAAAAATGGATAGATTAGGAATTTGTTATTTAACATGTTGGCTGTTGCAAGAATTTTTAGCGTCTTGCATTATTCGTGCTTTCGTGACAAAAATAGACAGTGTTGTAATTAATTATTAATGATTTAGTGTCATAGTTCCTACGTTACCGTGCTATTTGATTGCTTACGTTATTATACGTTTCTGTTTAACACTAATTTTCTTATTGAGATTGTTTTCTCGTAATTCGATAGCTCTGATTACGAAGCTAAATACGTGTGTTTACTTATACCTCTTGTGTTTTGATGGCGCAAATTCCGTCTCGGGACAAATCGTTGTCTCTTTCCTTAATATGCGTATTTACCTACGTTATACAGTATTTACATAGCAGCCGGTTGTTTGTGTACAAATATGTACACAAGCAACCCCACGCAATAGTCAAATTTTACTATACATTCAAAAGCTGGAAAAACGCTGCATTAGGAAAAATCGAATGATTTTGAATGACGCATCGCTTGACGCGTGTGTCTGTCCCGGAAGTGGAGATACGTTCCAAGGATTTCAAGAGTGCTACTTTATGCAACAATTCAAAACTTTTCATTTTCTACAAGAAAACGTCGAGTCACTGGCATCCAAAGTAATAGAATACACATACACCTATACATATGCGTACATATACATACACAATATGCTCTACTCACAAAATCACCTTAATGCTTTCCCACCAAAAACCAAAAACCCTAAAAGAAATCGTCAATCGCACAAAATTACAGAACTCAATCTATACACATATTTACATATACATGCACGACAAGCTTCATTTACATGAGCACCTCAACGCTTTCTCACGAAAACCCAGAAAAAATCGTCGATCGCGCGAAAACAGCACAACTCGATCTATACACAGACGTACAGTATACTCAGTAAACCCACATACTCAAACGACGCGACTCAGGATTCGCGTCTCGCTCGCGCGAGAGGAAGAGTGAGCGCGGCGCGGCGCGGAGCGTCCCGTCTACCCACACGCACGGTGCACAATAAGAATCAGGCCGAAGGATCGTGTTCGCGCGCACGCACACGTGTATAACCCCCTGTTTGTGCTGGCGGTAACATCCCACGCCGTGCGACACACACCAGAGAGAAAGACAGAGCGAGCGACAGAACGGCAAGAGGTAGGGAGAAGTACGATCGGCGCGTTCTCCAGGCGAAAGAGGTTCGTGTGTGCTGTGCACGTACACGTACGCGTCGTGGGCAAACGGCGGAGAGACGGAGAGGAACGGAGCACCGGCGGTGTGGTCACTAGGGCCGGCGAACGGTCGTCGATGCCACATCGACTCGCGGTACCGGACCGAGAGCATCGGTTCAACGAGCACTTACCATTCTCGATCGCGTCACGCGCGCCGCCTCTGCCCCCGTGCTTTTGCACCGAGAGATAACGCCGCTTAAGACGAACCGGGACAACGTACACACACACAAACGCGTGCACGCGAGAATAACAGCGAACAGCGGCGAGCACAGCTAGCCAGGCAGAGGGAAGAAGCAGAGAGAGGGACGCAGGAGGAAGAAACGAATCGCAGGTACGCGCACCAAGCCGACGAATACCTCAGGGACGAAGAGAAACGAGTTTGCGAACGGGACCGGTCACGGTGTGGATTCTTCGGTCCGGGAGATCGACGCGTGTGTCCCCTAACAGCCAGTGACTAGTAAACATTAGAACCATTTACGTTGCTCACCTGTTTCTCCGTCGTTTATCTTATTCGCGCGTGGTTCGGTGGTCTTCGCGAGGTGTCGATCGTCGCATGAGAAGGACCGATAAGCCAGTGAACGCGAGCGGCGCACCCTCGAAATGACTATACACAAGAGCAGCGCGAGGACGAGGACCAAGGGCAAGGAGCTAGCGTCCAGCGCACAGGACACGACTACCATGGAGACGGTGGAAGTGGTGTCCACGAGCGTCGTTGAGGAAGCTAGCCAGGTAATGGAGAGCGAGTCTAGGAGCAGCACGATGGAAGTAACCAGCTCCAGCCGGGAGGTCGTCATGGATTCTAAGGGTAACGTGATCAAGGTGATCGAGAGTGACCCTAGAACGATCGGCCATAGCACGTCTAGCTACAGAGCAGGCAAGAGCTCACAGGATTTCATAGCAACGGAGCAAACGCAGTTGCTCAAACAAGGGAAACCTATCCAAGACGGTCGACGAAGCACGAACGAGATCGAGATCTCTTCGGACGCCCTTCGTCGTGCAGAAACATCCGGACAAATGAGCAGAGTGTCCGAGTCCCGGAGTCACGGGGAGTCTCGCATGGAAACTGTTCAACAGTCGAGCTTCTCTACGGTACAGACGTCGGATGATCATGGTCATGTTTCGACGACCAAGATCTCCAAGGGTGTGACGAACGGCGACGAGCCGCGTGTTCACACATCCTCCAAATCCTACGAGTCGAAATCGGCCAGCCACGAGACTCGCGAGGAGGTCACCAAAGACGGCCAGACGGTTTCCAGCATGACGAGGATCCGCGAGTCCGGCGAGAGGCTGGACGACAATGGTCATGTGAGCGCCACACAGAGCCGCAGCGTCGACAACGAGACCACGGCCGTGCCCTCGGGCCCAGGTCGCCGCATTGACGGCGGCAAGGTCATCGAATCCAGCGTCGGTGAAAGCGACGCGAAGGAAACCGTCGCCCGTTGCAACAAGCCGGGGCAGTCCGCGTGGGATGGCACGTTCGTCAGCGAAAGTCCGCCACCGGCTAGGGACAGGGCTGCGACGCCACGGGGGGACACCGCGGCGAAAGTAGATCGGCTGGTTTCCGGGGCGGTCTCGCGGGACGTCGAGTCGGCCGTTGAAATCACCGAGGCGAGTTCAGTGATCGACCATCGTGTCTCGTCCACATCGACGGTGAGTCGCGACTCGAAGGTCCTCGTCGACGAAGGTAGGACAACTTCTAGCTCCGTGGAAAGCCACGATAGGAATGTCGGCAGGCTTTCGCAGGAATCGAGACAGGTCGAGCCGAAAGCTTCCGGCAGACGATCCAGGCCTGGAGACTCCTCTTGGGACGGCACCTTCGTGATGGAGAAGCATCCTGAGCCGAGGACGAGGAACGTCTCTGATGCCACTATTTTCCAGCATCCTGATGGAAGTAATGTTGTAGAATCGACGCAGAGGACTGATTTGAGAGAGAAAAGCACCGATGGGTCGTACGAGAAGATGTCCACGAACGTTGTCCATGTGGTTCAGGGAGCTACCGAGTCCTCGAGATTTATCTCTGAGGAACGGAGGGACGTTACACAGGAGTTTCACGTTGACGGGAAACTGGTGAGCGAAGAGGACGCTTCGAAGGACAGGTCCTCGGTGACTAAGAGGATCGGTAGACCTGGGGATTCAGCGTGGAACGGTAAATTCGTGTACGAAAAGCCTCAGGAGACTACGAAGAGGTCCACGAAGGATGAGATGGTTGTCAAGAAGAGCGACAAGCGGCTAGATACTGTGGACGTTCAGGACATCACTGAAGAGCACAATGTTTCTAGCATGTCCGAGTCCGTTTCGACCTCTTATGTAGTTGAGTATGCCAGTTCCAGTGACGAGAAGGTCAAAAACGTGGAGAAGGTAACTTCTGTCTCGGAGACGATCTTTGAAGAGGATTCCGGGGAGTTTAGATCGTCCAATCGTTTTGGTAGTCCGGAGAAAACTATGAAACTGGACTCGTCGACGCGCAACTACAGACCTGGCCAATCGACCTGGGACGGTAGTTTCGTTCGCGAGAAACCTCAAGCTCCTGAACGTCGCCGGAAAATGGACACCCGTCATGCGACAGATTCCGTGATCATTAGGGATGTCACTGAGGACAACACGATCAATGAGGCGGAGTTGTCGAGTGCGTCCTACGTGGTCGAGCACTCGTCCAGCACGCAGAGCTTCGCCGACATCAGGGACTCGAGTCTCTCTTCGGTGCACGAGATCATCAGCGACAGCGCCGTGCAGGCGGATAAGCTGTCCAGCAGACCAGGGAGTCCTGAAAAAACGCCGCGAGCAAGGGACACGCGAGTCACAAAGCCTGGGTCGTCCACATGGGACGGGACCTTCGTCCCAGAAAAATCGCCTGACACGAAGAGACCACCTAGCAGGGAGTCCGTTACTGATAGATCAGTGGTTTCAGAAAAATCACCGGACACGAAGAGACCACCTAGCAGGGAATCCGTTACCGATAGATCAGTGGTTCCAGAAAAATCGCCTGATACGAAGAGGCCACCTAGCAGAGAGTCCATTACAGAAAGATCCGTAGTTCGGGCAACGATTGATGATGTCCCAGTCGCCAGACCCAGGAAACACGTCAGCGATACCACCTTGAACCTCCAGGACAGTTTGGTGTCCAGCACGTCGGCTATGATCAGCAACTCGATCGTGGTGGAACAGTCCAGCGTACAGGAGAGTTACTCGGACTCTTCGAACACAGACTTCTCTACCAGCTCAGTGGAAACGGTTATCATCCGCGATGGCGTGCCTACGTCCACCAGGAAGACCGTTACCATTGAGCAGGGACCTAAGACTCCTGAGAAGAAACCTTCGGAACCCAGCGAACCTAAACGACCGGAAGACCTAAAGTCGCCTGGAAAACGTCCTGATACTCCTGATAAAACTGATAGATCCGTCAGACCTTCGAAACCGGGTGCTTCCACCTGGGACGGGTCATTTACTTACGAGAAACCTGTCGAGAAGCCACTTGACAAGAAGAAACCGATTGATACATCACGCACAACGAAACAGATCCCTGTTCAACCTTCGCCAACGGATACTGCAAAGGTTCCTGAAGACAAACCGACTTATCTCACTAAAAAGTCGATCACTTTGTCGGATACCTCTAGGGACGTGCAGACATCTGAATTCACTACTTCCACCACATTAGAGCGTACCCTTGTCTCTGATAATATTTTAGATACGAGTGAAGTGTTCACGAAAATTATACGCGACACCGATGATAGAAAACCTAAGGAACCCGAGAAAGGTCCTCGAGAAAACATCTCAGGATTGCAGATTCGGGAACAGCCTGAAGATGGTAGAAAGTCTCCAGAAAAGGGTCCTAAAGGTTCAGAAAAGAGTCCTAAAAGTCCAGAAAAAGTTCCTAAGAGTCCAGAAAAGACTCCGACGTCAGCTCGGCCGACAAAATTAGGAGCTTCTACTTGGGACGGTTCCTTCGTGTACGAAAAGCCGCAAGATCAGAAGAAAGAAGTTCCTGATCGGAAGAAAGACGTCCCTGATCAGAAAAAGGGACCTTGCGACGAAGCAAAGTCGCCGAAGGATTCTCCCGTAAAAGGAGCGCCCAAGGATAAGCCGGACTCGTTGGTCCCCAAAAAGGATGACACGTACGTTTCTGTTATCGAACGCGACTTGAAGGATGTCAGGGATGTCAAAGAGATGACGGACTTCGAAATGATCCAGCGATCTTCATACGTGATCGATCAATCGTCCAGCTTCACATCGGTGCAGGACGCTCGCGACGTGGTCGAGGAGCGCGTCATCAGTGAATTCACCACGGACACGCGTAAAGATGTGGTGAGTAACGAAGAGTCATTATTGAATCTACTTGTTTGCGGTGGAGGAGGTAACACTGAGTGGCGTTGTTACTTGGGAGAGCCTCGCTCGTTCGTGCAACAACGGTCCCCTGTTCTTTCATTGAATTTTTACTTTTGAAGTGGAGACTACATTAATTTCTGATCTCGTAATTCTTTTGGGACTATTTGAAATTTATGAGTTCTAGATCGTTGTTATTTGATGATTTAGATTTAACTAAGCGGAGTTGCGATAATTTCGCATGCAAATGGTAATTTTATGGAATTACACTGATATGATAAATAATATTTTTAAATACTACAGACGAGAGATATCTTGAATACTTTGTAAATTGTGGAAAATCAATGCGATATATTGTAGAATAATTATATATTTTCATTACATGAGATTTTTAGTCACGCGTTTGAAAGACCGTGAGAACATTTTGGAAAAAATGGCGCTGAGAAGTAGGTCGAAAGATCATGCAGTTCCGAGATATTTATAAAGCGTTCATTCAAGTGCAGGAGTAGGCATATCGACGGTATCTTTTAATAAGGTCTCGCTGGTTTCTCAATGAACGTGCAACAGACTGTAGCGATCGGTATAATCGAGTTACAGCGGTGTCGACGTTCCAAAGGAAATAAGGGAAAAAAAGCAGAACGAAGTCGGGCTGCACACCTCGCGGAAGAGGCTCGGTTGGTACTTTCACTTCCAAACCAGGCGAAGGTCGTAGGTTCTCGTGCGATATCCACTCAAAAATAACACTGACGTAATCCGGTCAGGACGGGGGAGAGAAATATGGAGAACGCGAAGCGTTTCGGATCGACTCGCGATACAGGTATCGAAATTCTGTACTTCCCTCGATCCGAGATTTTGAGACCTTCGATCGGTGCACGCGGAACTGACATTTTGAACGAGAAAGTTCAACGTTGAAACGAGTGAAATTTTACAAATTACTATGCAATTTATATAATACGATTATTCTATATAATATTATACAAATATTAATAAATTATTAATAGTATCAAAAAAGAATTGAGAAAGTTTCAACAAAATAATTTCCTATATTTTTCCTAGCTGATCTTGTATTCGACTTACACGTGAAGTATTTTTCGTTTGAATTAATTAATGAATAGAAAATATTTTGCTCGACACTATCACTAGTTATCTAGAACACCGATAAACCGTGATCTGTGACTACCGCGACAGTCGGACGCGTTAGCATCAAAGAAATATGTATCGCTTTTCGTTCCCTTAGAGAACCCGTTCCTGCGATTCTTAATATATCCCCGCCATAAACGAAGAAAGTGTAACAAACCGGCAATCAGTGGTTTCATGTGCACGGATCCAATATTTATAGTTTGGTTTCGAGACTCGGTGTGCGCGTCGCCGTTTGTTTGCTCTCCGTGTCGTCGGAGTTTCTCTCGGACGACCTACTAAGACACCTCGCAAAACAGAAAAAAAACTGTCGACTCTGTGGTTTCGTTTCGACTAATTATAACTTTGTGTCACGGGCCGTCTTCGCCGCTGCGACACACGGCGTTTTGAACGTCGATAAATTCAGCACCGCGATACAATTATGCCGGGATCATCCGTAGGAGTAGGCGTAACGTGTCACGTTCCATGTGTTTGGAGCAATGTATCTGTCAGGTAGAAAGGATGGGAACGTACCATCTTCATTAGAACGAGGAAACGAAAGATGTATCCGGATGATCTAATTACTAGTGATGTTATTATTGATTAACGACGTTGACTATCGAAGTGTTAGGTACCTCTACAAATTCTATGAAATTGATGCAGACATGTAGCTCTATGAATCATTGCTTGTTCGTGAAGACGAATGAATTGTAGAGTAACAGTAGAAATGAAACATCTAGCTCTAATGAAGCTTCCAAATACAAAGAAATAGTGAACCATATTATATTTTCTTCCATTTTCTTTAAATCTTCGTAACCGCCAGTAGCGACTTCGAACTTCTCAGCGACAGTATACAGAACTTTAATTTCCTTTAATTTAAAAAAATTTTTTTTCAAATTTTCAGTTTCTCAAACAAAACTTGAATTCGTTATACCTCAGAAACAAGGTCAAATAGAGCATATGTCGATCCGAACTGTTTTTATTGTTTTGATGTGCTGAAGTTACTCGAAAATATTTCCCACTTATTCTGGTACATCCTGATAACCATTCATTTCCTTCAAATAAGTAATTCACTCTGAATCTAATTCAATTAAGCTTCCTCATTTCCTGCTTCGTCGATTCAGTCTCTTTATTAAATGAATATTCAATCAAAATAATTTGCAAATAGGATAAAATCAGTTCACGGAAGAAATCACGGCCGAAGGTTCCCCAATAACTTCACAACGAGCATTGACAGTGGTAAACATCTCTTGTGTTTACATGACAGATATAATTGTTAGCATTTGGCCGGTAGTCGATCGAGTGTGGTTCGTAAACGGTTTCCTTGCCTCGATGTAAATAGTGATTAACCGGACGCGGTGGTAGTCCGCGCATGGAAATAATAAGGGAACGGGTAATAATGAGATGGGCTTGAATATCTCTTTGCTGTGGCGACTAGTACGGGCCAGCGGGATCACCGGCGGCGTGCGCTACGTGCACGCGAATGTAGTCACCTGCAATCGGCTTCCACCGAGAGTACGTAGAGCGACGACCAATGAATCGTTCACGAAACGAGCTGTCTAATTAAGCTTTTCGAACATGTCCAAATTTTACTGGCGAAATATGCATTCGGTTGGCCAAGAAGTCTCGTCACATTTTTAACATTAGAACTATCGGGCATTTAATACGATTAATATGTAATCCCTATAAAAATTGTAACAATAGATTATTTTCGGTTTCTTCAGACATTCGTTATAGGATTCAAGTAAAACTATTGATTTTTAATATCATTTCGAATATTCAATGCTTTTAAGGTATCAATAATTGTGAAACGAGAAAATTGGAACTGGTCATTTCGACTGGTAAAGTAGTTCTAGTGTTAAATGAAATTTAAAGGAAAACTTCATTGCATTAAATTAAACTTCATTGAAGGCTATACGTTTTTTATCCGAAAACTTTCTGTTGCCTTTCAATTCACTTGGAAATATTTAGTACATTGTTTAGTTTCCTTGGCAATATTGATTAATACAGACGCCATATTGAAAAATAACAAGACTTTTTGGCCAATTTAGCAGTAAGGATTTCTTGTAGTCGAATTTGAACTACTTATTGTAGTCGATAATTCAATATGCAAAGGATAGTTCAGCCAAATCTTTGGATGGTTAATTTTATCTGCATGCATGTAATTTCTTTAATTTCTTTATTCTTTGCGGAGTTACACACTTTGGCAAATGAGTGACTCAATTGCTCGGCCAAGTTCGGCTGTGATGTCATCCCGTTGCGAGTCTCGCGCCGCCGTCTTCGATCTTCTGATCGATTCGCGTTTCACGCGCGACCTTTGACTCTGTTCGTTTAGCGCGCCGCGGACGTTTCTTCACTTCCGCGACGCTTCGAGTCGTAACACCTGTGATTCTGTAACTCATCGTGATTTCTAGACTTATCGATTTGTAAAGCTAAAATGTTCGAATAAGAAAACGTTTACATAATGTTGGTTTACGATATTAGATAATGAGGCAATGTTAATTGGAGTATAGATTAACATTGTCGCTGGTTTTCCAATTTTTACGTGGGAACGAGCAGATGTTATTTCATTTTGTCGTAAACGAGGAAGAATATCATTGTTTGGGTAATACTACATTATTATATTTCGGTATTAATCGGCGGTCGTACTTTCGTTATCGAGAGGTCAAAGTATTTATATACTCCACAACATTTAGCATTAGTAACGATGCATACAAGTAGGTGAATATGTATATACACTCCGCGACAAAATGATTGGATGCCGTTGAACTTCTAGTGCTTCTTCTGAAATGCCAATCATTACAAGAACACTTAACTTCCCATTTGCATTCCATTAAATAGATCGATTCAGTTTCATTATAATTACTAATAGATCCGCATTAAACATATTAATCGAAGAGTTTTCCTAGAAAACTTTCTAAATGCCAAAATCGGAAACTTCTGTTTCTTTAATGTTCTTTATTTTCTTCTTACACATTCCTTTATTGTAATCTTATGTTTATTTATTTTTATTTTATTCTTTACTAGAATTTCCCGTCTCCAATCTTCCATCTTATAAGTAGTCATCGATAATACTGACCATTCTAAAAAAATGACATCACTGCGGTATAACAATGCAATACACTCAACGTTGGATAACTTCCCTCTCCTTTCAAAATTTCACACTTCTACAAACATTCTCCAATTCCAGTTTACAATGATCCGACTCATGAATCAAAGCGTACGAAGAAATACCGCATATACGGCGGTAACCAAGTTTGGCAGTGATGTCATCGTTCTCCAGCGCGTTGCTCGATGCTCGGCCAATTAGATTTCACCGCATAGTGCTCGATTGGCTTTACTTAACCCATTACTGTATCGCCGCGAACCGCGGCGCGTCGGCACGGTTCACACTTTTTCCTCGTTTGTAGTCGTAAATTCAGCGCCCGTGCAGCGGCGCTACGTCGCGTCTGTTCCGCGAGGTGAATTACCAATCGCCGAACTCGTGAATGATGTCAGCGGTCCCCGGTACACGCGGGATTCCAAGAGCACGCGTTGTCCCGGTTCTTGTAACCTTGCTCGACTCGATAATGCTGTCGTTCGGCTACGAACGACATAAGCCAGTTGCAGAATTTATGAAAGCCGACATCATCGGACGTAAACACTGGTTACCGGTCGTTCCCAGTCGCTCCCGTGCACCTGTATGCGTTACAGCCAACACGCGATCCTGTCGTTCGATCTAAATTGTGATCTTTTGATCTTTGAATACAGTACTGAGCGAAATTTCGTTTGGATTCGAATCAGGAGAAATACTGTATATATATATAAATAAAATAACGAATTGAATTTTATTCGATTAAAAGATCTAAATTTTCTCAAGAAGAATC